ATTGTTTTTCTAGCCTTTGGTAAACATAAAAAGTGAGAAATGTCTCTTTTTTTTTTTTCAATTTTGCTTTCTTGTTTTACTATTCATTTCTTTACTGATTGTAGCAAAAGGGAAAAAAAATAAAAATTAGGGCATAAGTGGAGCAGTTCTCTCAGTCATGTGAAGAAATTATAATTTATTACAACCACTATTGTTGCAATGATTATTTGAGACTTTTAATCTTCTGTAATTTTTTTTAAAGCTTCTAATTCTGCTGGAAAAAAACCCAAAAAATAGACTCCCCAAATGAGGTCTAACTTTAGCAAAATTTTGTCAGGTATAATGTTTGAAGCAATGGTGAGCATTAGAAAAATTTAAAGGGAGAAGTTTTGGACCCCTGTAGAACAAACTGTAGAACATTACTATAAAATCTATTTTTTCAAAGACCCGTTCTATTTTTTCCTCCTTAATTTTGCTCTGTATTCTCTATTTTACCACCACTTTTATTAAAATGTCTTAATGCACTTTGCAGATGGTTTTGCTTAACTTCAGATTTAGTCTTTTTCCACAATAAGTAACCCTAAGAAGTGAAAGAAACTTCCCAAATCACTGCGTCTGTAGTGCAGTGTAGTGATTTTGTCTGTACAGTTTTTGAATTCTCAGTGAGATACTGTGGATGCCCAATCTCTCTGTTTGAGCTTTCATCTCCCTTAAAAAATATCTTCTTCTTAACCCATTAGATTACATTATTTCTCAGGGCTGTGAGAGAGCTGTAAGATGATCTAGGCCTGTCTGTACAAATAGTGTTATAACAGGATTTTGTCTAATTATTGAGCAGTGCTCTCTTTGTTCATGATAAAGGAAAATACTTCACAAGCTTAGAGAAAGCTTACACCCTAAAACACATGGAGCCAATGCATCCAGACTTTTTTTCCTTCCTTGCTAAGAGATGAATTGGACATGTAGAAGCCTGTGCTCTCTGGAGGTGCCAAGGAGCAGCATGGGCAGTACAGAAAAGCTGAACAATTGTAAGGTTTCAGCTCACTACAGCAGGCAACTATACAAATAGCCTGTACAGTGAAAGGTAGTGCCTGCACTCCCTTGTCTAATAGAACAAGATGAATCCAAGTAAGGGACCTGCTGGCAGGAATCTCAGTGTCTCAAAAAAGCTTCACAAGGCTCTGACATACTAAGCAACAGCAGAACACAGGCTTAATGGTTGTGTGTCTTAAGTCACCATATTTGCTGTTTGAAATCTGAATTTCTTTTTATTAGTTGAATAATTGACACTATATGAAACAACATATGTTGACAAGCATATATGCTTGTGGATATTGAATGATCAAACTAAGCTACTTCCGGCTATTTCTGTAGCATCTCCTGCCTTGTACAGTGGCTGCAGTTCCTGTGTTGCATTTTTGGTGATGAACCAGACAAAAGTGTTTTAGAAGCAGGCAACTATCAAGTCACCTTTCTGAGTAGTGCTTAAGATCTTTTAAATTTTGTCTTTACACAGTAACATCATGGCGATGGGGGTGGGATGGGTGCCTAAGTGAGGAAAGTGTTAAAGTTCCACTGAAGTGGAACTGACAACTACTATTATACTCTCACACTTTAAAAAACTCCAGCTGCATATTGTTAAGCAGAATGGACAAACAATTTTATTTTCTAATTTTTCATTCATGCATATTACACAATACTGTATTTGTTGTAAGTATTTTTATTGTCTTGAAAAAAGGAAGACCTCAGTTGACAATGACAGCTGTTATTAAGTCAAAACTTGCCAAAAATAAAAGCAGATATTCTGAATTTTTTTTAGAACATCAGGTTTATCCTTCTGCTATGTGTTTTAATGACATTGGAAGAGTTTCATGAAGCATTTAATGCAAGTCCATGGTTGTTCCTTTGTTTTTAAACAGCAATCTGTTCCCTTCTAGGTTCATCTTCAAATATAGAATCCTACAAGTCTACTTGGTCACAATGCTACAATGCAAAGTATGGACAAGTTACATTAGATCTAAGCATAAAGCAATTCTAATGCATTTTATAAAACCAGGTGTTGGGTAATATTTCCTGGGACATGACAATCTTATGTAATTTGGGGGACACATTTCTTTTGTTATAAACTGTCAAGAAAGAACTCAAGAACACACCAAGAAAGAACTTTTTGTACATTACTAATCAGTTCTTAAGACACAAAATCTGTCTCGAATTAAAATAGTCATTTTTTTAAAGTTAGAATTGGACTGGCATTTTTGGTTTGCTGGGTTTGTTTGTTTGTTTGTTTGTTTGCCTGTTTTTTCTTGTTTGCTTGTTTTTTCATTGCAGGAGAACACTTAGAAATACAACACAGTTTAAGAATAAATGTTTGTCGTCATCCTTCTTTGTATCATAATTTCACTTCTGTGCTTTGACCTTTTGCCTTCTTCTATGACATATTAAATGAAGCCAACATGTAATAACTAGAATTATATATATGAATAAATAATCAGCCTACCCTTGAACACAGCTTCATTCTGAGTTTTCTTTGAATGAAGTAAGATGAGTTTAATAACATTCTGTCCTCACATATCCCAGATGTGTACAATTTTTTTCTGGAAATAATTTAATCCATAATAGTGAAATTAAAGGAATTAGGTGGATCATTTAAAGATGAGCATGTATAGAGATGCTTATTTAAACGCAGTGTGGGTTTCTGTCTGTGGTTACTATAATCTTAGTTTCTCTTTCATTTTTCTCTCTCTACACATTTCTCACTTGGAAACCAGAGCATGAAGATATTGCATCCTATACAAGCAAGAGAGTATAGGATGAATGTATATTGAAACCATTCATAATTATAAACCCAGTATTTTTCCATAACAGGTGATTTTATGAAAAATCTGCCAATACTCTTTGCAAAGTTTCATTTAGAAGCCAAAATATGCAGCTGAATTGGGATCTCCTATTCGAGTGTCTTTAATTGCATTTGCCTTCAGGCTGTGCTGGAAGCTATAACGTCTAAGGTGGACAAGTCTCAGAAGTATTATCTTCCTCACTCACTGTAGATGATAAGTGATTTTTTTAATTTAAAAAAAAGGAAATGTAAAATGATCTAAAAAAAAATTTCTTCATCAACATCCATAAGTTTTCCTGAAGAAATATGTATGCAGTATTTATGCTAATTTTTTTATATAGTTGCTTGTAAAAGATGACCCATGGTTCAAGTCACAGAAGGAAGGTTTTCAAAATTTTTGTAGTAGAAGAAAGGCAATATGATTTTGTAACAGGCAAGATCATATTAATAAAATTCCTCTCTTCTTCCCTGCTTATTTTTAAGTCCTGATTGAGCACTGCCTTAAAATAAATTCTTCAATAATTGAACAAAAGTTTGTATTATCTCTTGAATAATTCAATCAATATATTCCACTATCTACAAAATTAGTTAATCAGCAAAATATTTGTCAGTCTATTCAACCATGAAGTATTTTTATTCTAATCTTAAGTAATATGCTAGAAATTTTCTTCCATTTTGAAAGATGTTATGCAGATGAAAGGAGCCTTCGATGTAAATTTTTGAAGAAAAGAATGTATGTGCTTCACTATTGAACAGTTTCTTTTAATCTTAAAATTGCTCAGGGTACTAATACTTCTCTGTTCTAATGCAATCAATTTGAATGGAAATAATTTATTCTGTCCAAGTAGAACTCTAAGCAAAACTTGCAAACCTGCAGAAATGCATTTACTTGGCACAAACTATGCTGTAAATCTTCATCCAAATTTTTGAGCAGTAGTTCAGTTAGAGTTCATTGTAAGTTGAAAACTGTTATAAATGTGGTTTAGGATAAGGACTGAAAAATACCAGTTGTAAAATTCAGAAATTATATGATGGTTTTATAGATAAAAATAAAGATGTGATTTGGAGTTTGGTTTTTTTCCTCATGCATGGACTCAGCATGTGAGATTTTCTCTTTATAGAAGTTTGGCACAAATTTGAGAAATCTGTTAAAAGTCCTGCATATACATGGGTCATATTTCTTTTTTATATTAATAGTAATGAATATTTATGATAGCTGAATCTTCATGCCCTATATGCTTTTATTCTATTAGGTTAAAAAAAAAAAATCTTACCTTCGCTACAGTAAGACCTGAATCAAGACCGAGGTTTTCTTTAGTCAATTCCCTGCAGTTGGCACTTGATCCAGACTTAGTTAACTATGCCAGTAATAGGTTCCTGCATCTCTTAAGTTAATACATATTTTTGTGAGCCCAATGCCTGTGTCTGCACACTTATATATAAAGACAAGGGCACTTTATTTGGTCCCAACATTAAGCTTCTATTTCCTTGGGGAAGTACTGTAGACATATAGACACGTACTACTTTTCCTGAGCTCAAGAAATATCACTTGTGCACTATACAGCCTTAAAAAATGGTTTTTTTAGAGAATGCAGGATGGAAATTATTCATGTTTCTATGCATATAGATACTTCTGACTAATAAAGCAAGGAGGAACTGTGAACTGCTTCATCCTCTCTCTGCATGCTTCATTGCTTTTCTTAAAAAGTGAGAATAATGATTTTCTACCTTGCTTTTCCTAAGAGTCTCACAGAGCTGAATGCTTGTAATACTGTACTATTCCAGGCACTGTGGTGATAAGGTCCATGTACTGGACCCTTCTCTCAACTCAAGACTACCAATACCAGAATCGTAGACCTTGTTTACTTTGTTTGGAGGCTTACCTGCTGCAGTAAATCCCAGTCTGTTAACCACCCACTGGAAATATGCATGCTAATGATCCCACTCAACCTGATTTATTCTTAGTGAGACACCAAGGTGGGCAAACTGGGCTTGAGTCAGTTCACCGACCCAATTTCTGCAGACTGGGCGTAGCCAAGGAGTCCTAGAAGGAAGAAGACTAGCTTATACTCAGCCCTGCAACAGAAGCGCAGGTACAAGAAAGGCACACATATAGTTCCAGATAAATTCTAACTTATCCAGTTTAATGTTGCTGATGATGTCTTCAGCAGTTCTCTCCCCAGTTATTCTTTAGTCCGACTGAATGGGCCTGTAAACAGCAAATAACAACTCGTGAAACTGACGTGCATTTGTCTCCTAGTCACCAGCTCGCTCATGTGAGTTTCAAAAGCCTTGTCTGACCAGTCCTGACATATGGAGCTGCTCAGGGATGAATCATGAAAGAAACATATGGATTAAACATTTATGGCATTAAGATTCTTACTGAAGCAGAAGGTGGCCTGTGTAGGCCTATAGGGATGATTCACAGAGTCACCCTTACATTTTCTTGAGGGTGAGAGGAAACTTTATTCCATTTAATGTCATATTTGCAAACTCACCACTGCTTTTATATCTGTTTAAAGAGTTCACGATAAGATTGCTTGGAGAAAAACAGCAGGACTTGGTAATTAAGGTACAGGATTAGCTTGTGTAGCTGATGGCATTCCTTCGAACCACACTGATCAAACCTCATGTCTTTCCAGATGCAGGGCTACCAGAGCAATTTTATGCACAGCAAGGCTACAGATTTATGTACCTTCTCCGGGCTGTATTCTTATTACTGAAGTCATCCAGTCTCTAGCTGTTGAATTTTTTTGAAAAGCCTGCTCAATATCTGACATTTAAAAAAAGAAAAAAAATATTCAGAAAACAAGTTCGGAACTCTGCCTTCCACTAAGGATGTTGAAATCTGCCAAGTTAAACCAAAAAATTCTCATAATTAAGGCTAGTGCTTTTTTACACCATAAGCAATCTTCAAACCTCACTTGCTCCTGCTGTAATGGAAGTAGCTGAAACAAGAAAAAGGCAGAGATGAATACACTGTCTGCGCTGCTGGTCTGCCCATCTACTCCCTGCTTTCCAGCTGCTGGGGGATGAGGATGAAATGGCAGGCCCTGTGAGAGTTGTTTTCTAGTGGTCCTGATCTGGAACTTTTATTTCTGATGCAAACTAAGAAGCTTTTGACAAGGCAGCTATTGGCATCTGGCATTTTTGTAGCAAGAATGCATGAATTTGAAAGCCATTTCCTTTCACGTTTGAGGAAAATCACAAAAGGCAAACTGATATAACAGACATATTATAAATAGGAATAAAACACACATGGCTAATTCTTAGCTAGAAATTTCATGAAGTTTCTTTGATGTTGTATACACACGTGTGTATATAAGTTATATATAGTTCATTCTGTATCTGAATATGTGCATCTAATTCATATGCACTACTCATAATTCAGTCACATAATGCAATGCACATTCACTATGCTGTGATAAATATATATATAGCATACCTCTGTGGTAATCACAATCATTTTAATTTAGCTTCCAATTTTCTTTCAGACTCTTTCTTGTTGATTTCAGTTGCAGTCATAATATTTCTTCTAACAAAAAAAATTCTCTGAAAATTTTAGGGATCATAAAGTAAGTAAAAATTCAGAACAATTTTTAGTTAATTTATTTTTCTGAAAAAAAGGAATTTTTTCATAATTTATTGACTTTAAAATGGTTTTGGTAAGATTTGGTTTTAATATTATAAGTTTGGGAGTTTTGGGTTTTTCTGGGTGTTGTGGGGATTTTTGTTTTTGTTTTTTGTTTATTTGGTTTGGTTTGGTTTTTGTGAGGTTTGTTTCTTTGTTTGTTTTGGGATTTGGAAGTTTAGTTTATTTACTTGTTTGTTTTGGGGGGTTTTATAGGCAAGTTAAAGCTTCCCACCATATTATTTTGGCTTGTATGCAATAAATTGTTTATCTCAGTTTTTACAATTTCTCAAAAATCCATTTTTTCAAGCACAGTTTCCAAAGCATTAGTCTCAACCTTGAAGTGAGATACATATATGTAGGGGAACTGTTAAATTCCCTCCAGAGATCTTTCAATCTTAGCCTTTGTGTTAAGCAGCAAACACTTAGAGCACATAGACATGGATTAGTATAAATTGTGAACACATAATTTAATTATTTTGGAGGTGTGATTGTAGAACTGGCAAATTATTTTTTATTAATTTGTTCATGTCTCTATCTCCTGTCCATGGATAGATGAAAGAGATTTCTTTCTTACATAGATGAGAAAATCCATTTGATTTAAAACCAGCTGAACTTCATTTACCTAGATGAATTAGTACCTTCCCTTCTAGGAAGACTAAAGCAGTGAATTATACCTAATCTTGGGCTGAGGATGGTCATCTAGGAAAGGGAGCTATCTCTAAGGAGAGGGAACAAGAAAAGAGTGAAGGGGACAGAAATCTTTCTAACTATAGTCCTCCAAACAAACTCTCAGCAGTTTTTTTCTGACACAACTTCTTAGTCTCTTCAAACTCTCCAAGCAGAGCCCACCAGAAAGTTGCTATAATAGTTCATGGTCAAAGAGATGGTGGATACACCCATCAAAGAGAAGCAGCCCAGGATGCAATTTATATATGTTTGCCTTCAGCCCAGACCTATGCATATTAAATAGCCTAAACAAGGTAGGTGTGTAAACATTTTGTAACTTCATAACACTATTAGTAGCATTTTGTAACTGTTAAGCACTAACCCATAGATAATAGTCATAACTGCAGAGAGGCAAATTGAGATTTGTAGCAAAATTGCACAGATAAGGTGCTGGAACACCTATGCAAGTAGTAAGCTAATGATGTAGATCAGACATGAAAGAAACAAAAAAATCTTGCAGAGCTTGGTGGAATCAAAATAATCCTGAAGAATAAGTGAGATGAAGCCAAAAAAAATGAAAAAGGTTTAGTTCTATCAATGGTATTTGAATTTCCCTTTTTCTTTTGAACAGAGAACATAAAATAGCAATCATAAGCAAGGAAAAGATGGAAAAAAAAAGAAATTGCCTGCCTTCGTTCAGTCATCCCTTTTCACGGGCCTCTAAGCATTGACCACCTTGAACTTGGTCACTGAAACCATCAAGGGACCATGGCTATGAAGAACATCAACTCCATCATATTGTATACTCACAGCTAATTTAGGATAAGCTTGTTTAAACCTATTTGTTTGAAAATACAGAGAGATAATTATTAGTGAATAAGAACTAATTTTTAGCAATGTGGATTGCTGATGAATGTCAATCTAGTAAACTATTGTTTCCAAATTTGAAACAGGCCAAAGTTTTCAGTCTTTTAAACATTGCTATCACAGTGATCTCTAATTCTCTTAAAAGACATGTATACATTTCCATATATATACATATATATGTATAATCAGTTGCAATAAGTTGAAGACAACTGTGATTATGAATCATGTTAGTAAACATTGCTAAGAAACAGGATATCTTAGCTTAAAATTCTGCTAATGATGTAGCTTCTGGTTAACTGGTAATGCATACAAAGTGTGTATAGGTCTGCTTGTGTAAAACTGCAAAGATACGCTGTGGGAATGGTGCATTTTCCAAGGCAGTATGCCTCCAATCTCTAATAGATCAAAAGAATACTGATGTGATACAAACCTTTGTACATCAACAAAAATGTTATAAATAAACATGATTAAAATATAACTTGTGGATTCACTTTGTCTGAATAAGATGTTGGATTGGAAAATCTCGAAGCAAAACCAAAAGAACTCTACCAAAAAACAATTTTTTAACATGGCTTGCTTTGATAAAAAAGGTTATTTTCTTTAGTTTGATTTGTTCCTTGGTTAGGCTCATCCTTCCAAACAGACAAAAAGTAAATATTTATTAAATATAGAAAATAATATTATTGTGGAGTCAAAGTAACCATGTACAACTTAAATAAGCTTTTTGGCACACACATAACTTTCTAATGGCTATATTTCTTTTGGGTTTGTACCTTTTGTTTTAAAAACAAGAAAAACATGAGTTATTAGAGGTCTTCTTGGGAAACAGCTTCTTCTATCATTCTTATATGTTGTCTAATTTACAGAAATACTTTAACTATATCACTACTGGTCATATAATGTTCTCTGTAGTGTAAAATATTTTTTTCTAACAGTTATTGTAATGGCAGGCCATTTTATAATGTTACTGAGTCCTCAAATCTGTAGTAAATAAAAAAAATTAACTCTTCAAGTCTCTAGGAAAATGCAGCTTAGATTCAATGGTCTGTAGTTTTCTCTGTAAATAGGCAAGCAGCAATCTCTTAATGATCGCAGTTAACAAAGTGTTTTTGGAACAAAATATAAAAGAGATAGGAATGAAAAATTTTAAACAATAAATTTATTAATGTAGTCAACAAATCTTTTATGCAAAATTTTAGTTAAGTATAGTTTGGAAGAAGATTCTGGTGTTGATTGAAAACAGACAGTTCAAAGCTCTTAATGCACAATTAACCAATTAAGTCTGATTTACATGGAAAATGGTCTCCTATAAAATCAATGTGACTGCGCTCACACAACCATGGTATTCCTTCTGAGATTTCAGTAACTGACCAGTTATCAGATATTTAAAATTAAATCATTGAGCTGTACATGTTGGCACAAACAATGTAAGTTTTTACTGCACACATACTATATAAACCTTTTAGTTATACAGGTTTATAAACCTCATTACTTTATAAAAGAATCTTATATGTCGTTTATTTTTCTTTCATCTATTTTTCTCTCTAAATTAAGAGAGAAAATTGCTTTAACTCCAGAAATAATGGATCAAAAAGGTATCTGTAATAGGGTTTAAAAGTCTCTGAGTTGTGAAGTTGTTCTTTTGCTTTTCCCTATGTATCCACCCCTGAACAATGCTGCACACAGGACACGGGGACAGGTGAGTCTTTGTTGTGACTCCTTGTCTACTGCTCTTTGACCGCTAGTAATCTCCTGACTTGCATATAACCAGTCTCATGTTCTGTGTTTTTCAGTACATTTACTACTTTTTTTTAATAGAGGTTATTTTATGACTGGCAAGGTACTCACTTTGGAAATGTGATCATATTGATATGAATAGGCTTCCTCTGAGTCTGTTATGCTTTTCCACAAATATGAACAGTCCTGTCAGAACATAAAGCATTTACAGCATTGTCAAAATGTTAAAGGCTAGCCACATAAGCTGTGGTGGGGGAAAAAATTTTCCCCCTGAAGTTATAAAATGGTAACCCCCCAGGGGGTGGTGACCTTTGGGGTTGAACCAACCAGCGCTCCTGCAAAATACAAACATATCACCCAGACCAGAAAAGAAGGGTAGTTGTTGTAGTTGTTGTTGGAGAAAAGGTGGCCATGTTGTAAGCCCCGAGGAAGGGGCCTGGAGCCCCACTGGGGGCTGGGGGGCTACAGGGACTTAGAATGGTGTTAGACTGGGCTAAGTATCTGTAGCTGAGAAGCTGGGAGTTTTTTTCTCCACCATGAGCAGCAGACGGAGCAGTGGCAGAAACAGCACTGATCGAGACAGTGAGCCAGAAGAGATAAGACTGAAGAAGCAGCAAAGCCGGCATGCAGCCAAGGAGGAGAGACACAGAGTTGTCTGAAGAGAAAGAAAGTCAGCACAGAGCAGGACTAATCTCTATGGACAGAGGTTGGGGTAAGAACTGAAAACCAAAACTCCCAAACTCCTTTTGAGATCTCTCCTAAGTGGAGGAGATGGATTCCTACTGGATGGAAGTCCTAAAATGCAGCATGAACTGCAGAGAGAGAGTTGAGGAGCTCAGGCATCCCAGAGCTGGACGGGGATGGCCAGAATGGAATGCGGAGGAGAGCTTCACCCCCCGTTGCTGCTGCTAAGCTAGCAGAGCTGAGACAGAGCACAGAAGCTCTGTAAGGGAGCTTGAATCTCCTGAAGATAGGGACCGTAGCAAAGACTTCTGCACTTTGTGATATGATGTGGTGAAGTGACCTTTGTCCCGGTGAACACAGCCCACGGAAGAGAAAGACCCTCACCTGGAGTCGAAGGGCCGAGAGGGGCTTGGAGACCCCCTCGTGTGTACTGGCAGAGAATCAGCTACAGCAGCTGCGTGGAAGGAGAGAGACTGCTGCTCTGAGAGTGGAAAGGATCTCTTCTTTCTTCCCTCCTGGACTTTTATTTGGAGGGAGAAGAGATTTGATCCATTGTGAATACTGCTTTATCATAGAAAAGATAGTTATGATTGTGTATGATGTATTGTAATATTTATTTGTAAAGTCATTGTAATATAATCCCTTCCCCCCATTTTGAGTCTCGTGTTTTTGTCTGGAAAACCCATCTTATGCTGAGTTGAGATGTGGGAGGGGGGTTTGGACTCAGGGATTGGATTTTGGGGCTCTCAAACCATTACATAAGCTCAACTTGTTTGTGAAATCCAGGTTTTAATTTACTTCTCCATAGATAAAAAGAATAAAAACTGTCAAGCATATGTTTATCCTGGTGTATTATCACTCTTGTTGAACAAAATACAGTAATTTGGTTCTCCTTCCCGAAGGTCAACAATAATTGCAATTCTACACCATGCTGTTCTGATGCTCTTCTGCAATTATAAATGAAAATTTATGTTCTCAAAGTGGTATAATCATAAAAAGTCACTATCTAGCATAACAATAATAAAATAATGGATGAGGTTATAAAACTAGGAGTGTGCTAAACATTGTGAATTAATTTTTGGTTTGTTGGCTGTAAAAAAGTCTCTGTGAATCTTTCAATATTACATCTATTTATAAAATAATTCTAAAGAACTAGTATAAATGGCATTTTTTTAGAAATATTTTCATGTGGCAGTCTATTTGGTTGAATGTTACATTGATTTTCATGTCTAAGATGGAAAGAAAAATATAACCATAAGGAGAACTAAACTATTAGAGCTAAGTAATCTAAGGTAACATAGCCAGACATCAAGAACTGTATATACATAATGCTGATTGTATGAATCCCTGAACACATTTTTCGTCATTAAATGAGGACTTTTATATGAAAAAATGTACACAAACTACCTGATGTTACTTCAAATCTCTCTCCAGCTACTTGTAATATTGAGCAATGGGGGTGACAGAGACATGCATTGAACAATACCCTTAGTCTCATGTTTAAAGTAGTCTTGCATTCTTTTTCAAACTGTTACAATTGAACTGAAAAATAATCTAAGTGATTAATCTCAGACTATGTGAAATTGTGTGTTTTCTGAATTTAGTGTTTTCTGAAATTTTGGTACTGAAGTTAACCAGTCTATTTTACAAAAAAATGCAGCAGTTAAACAGAAGGCTCCTTGTTAGCATTTTGCAATATTGCTTTACAGTTAGTGGGGGTACGTGACAACATTCAGCTCACTCCAGAATACACTTGTCAATTCACAGCACTTGGTGTTATAATGAACTGCTGTTTTGATTGTGCATATTTCTCACTCAGTAGTAGTAATAGTGAAATTTGGGTTTTTTTAATATGGTTGACTAATTTTTGGCAATGGAATTGAGCAAAATAGGTTGCATAAATTTGGCTAGGGTGGCCTTGAAAAGAAGCTGACTGCTGATCTGCTTTGTATATTTCCTCCTGTTTTCAGGGTTCAGATTATTATTTTTTTCCTGTGCATATCAAGGAAAATCCATTCAT